AACACAGTGAAACCCCGTCTCTACTAAAAATACAAGAAAATTAGCCGGGCGTGGTGGCGGGCGCCTGTAGTCCCAGCTACCCGGGAGGCTGAGGCAGGAGAATGGCGTAAACCCGGGAGGCGGAGCTTGCAGTGAGCCGAGATCGCGCCACTGCACTCCAGCCTGGGGCACAGAGCGAGACTCCGTCTCAAAAAAAAAAAAAAAAAAAAAAAAAGGGGGCACCACCTCTGGAGCTGTGCAGGTGTGTGTCGTGGTGGTGGCCAGCTGGCTGGGCCTGACCTCAGGCCCTGAGGGAAGTGGTCAGGCACCAGCAGTGTTGGAATGGGGTGGGCAGTTCCCCAGTTCCCTGAGCTCCATGGCCCCTTGGAATGCGTGTGTGAGTCCCAGTGGGGCTGGAATGGAGGTGGGGCTGGCGCAGCATTCAGGTGCTGACTCTAATGGAGAGGGGCGGGCTGGTCCCCGGCTCCCTGGCCAACTCTCCAGCGGGTGCAGGCAGGGCACTCTGGCAGTAGGAGCCTGGGGGATGATCCCAGGCCTGTTGGATAGGGTTGGCAGACGGGCACTCTCTGGGTCACAGCTGAAATGCCTGGGGGGTGTGGGGGTGAGCACTGGAAGCCAGCAGGTAGTGAGCCCCTCTGGGCAGGGAGCCTGCAGTAGACAGTCGGGAGCCACAGAAAAGTTGGGGCCCCAGCCTGAGGGCAGCAGGGGCAGGACCCCAGTGGCAGCCACCACAGAGGGCCTGTCAGTTACCTCTGGGAGTTCCCTGCCAGAGGAATGTGGAGAGGCCACCGACCAGGGTGCTGAGGCTGGGATGGGGCAGCTGTGCTGGGGGCCCAAGCCAGTCAGCCTGGCCTGGCAAGGAGCAGCAGAGGCAGGGCCTACAGCCCATCCATCCCATCCTCAGCATGATCCTAGCGTAACTTCACCACGGGTTCTTTCCGCCCTCTGCATAAAGACAGACCAGAGCATGGCAGGAGAGAAAGAGTTTGATAGACACGAGGCCGGTCATGCCACGTGGGAGATGGAGTTCATACTCAAACCATCCAAGGCTCACAGGTTAGGTTTTCAAAGGCAGTTTGGAGGAAGTAAAATCAAAGGCAACTTGGAAGGGGTGGGGGTCCGCAGGTTACAGATGCTTGCTGCTGACTGGTTGGGGCAGAGATGAAATCCTAGGCCTCCTGGGGGCCGATTCGCTCTTAAGTGGGGCCACAGGAGCGGGGCTGTTGGTCCAGGTGCAGCCAAGGGTGTCAGACATGCAAAAAAAAAAAAAAAAACCTGGAAAGGTATCTCAAAAGACCAACTGGGGAAGCTGTTTATCTTCCAACCTCTGGAATGTCAGCGCCTTAGCAGGATTGGGTTCTTCCCCCTGCCTCAGCCTGATGGGCTCCTATTAGCTTTACAAAAGCAGTCGAGTTCAGAGTAAAGCCTATGGTCATTTAAACTGTAGCCTAAATGTCTTCAAAAATTAGCTTGGCCCAACAGCCTAGGGTGAGTTAGCTTAGCTTACTGTTCGCATTTTCCCACTGACAGGCGGCTTCACTAGCAGGGGGACAAAGGGCCTGGCCTTCCTTGTTGCTGGGGCTGTGGCAGCTGACACCAGGGTGCTCACGGGGCGTCCAGGGGTCCAAGGCCTGTGGGGTTCCACACGGGGTTCCACACGGGCTGGAATGCTGCTCTGCAGACACTCCAGGCTGCCTCCAGCTTGCTCTGGAAGCTCAGGGGGTCCGGGGGGCTCTTCTCTGCCCAGGATTGCAAAGGACTGTGTCAGAAGTGTGGGTCCCTGGCCGGGCACGGTGGCTCACGTCTGTAATCCCAGCACTTTGGGAGGCCAAGGCGGGTGGATCACCTGAGGTCAGGAGTTCAAAACCAACATGGAGAAACCCCCTCTACTAAAAATACAAAAAAAAAATTAGCCGGGCATGGTGGCGAGCGCCTGTAATCTCCGTGACTCGGGAGGCTGAGGCAGGAGAATCGCTTGAACCCGGGTAGCAGAGGCTGCTGGGAGCCGAGATCACACCAAAGGAAAAAAAAAAAAAAGAAATGTGGGAACCCCAGGGGCTCTCACTCTCACCCTTTCTCTGCATCAGGGAGCTTCCCCCAGCTCCGCTCCAATCCCAGGAGGGCAGCTGCCCAGCCTCGCCTGTTCTCCAAGTCCCACCACAGCCCTGGTGAATCCCAGTGTGGTGTCCTGGTCTATACCCTTGAAGACCAGGCAGTTACCCTGTTTCTTCTCCATGAGGGCAGCATACGCTAGCTGCGTCCATCAGCCGTCATGAACTGCAACCCACAGTCACATCCATTAATAGTCAAATATTTTCATACTTTATTTTATTTATTTGTATATTTAATATTATGTTAATATTTTATTTTTATATTGATTATATATTAATGCTTTCTGTTGATTAATGTTAACATTTTGGGTATTAGAATTTAGGTATTTTGGGTTAGAATTTCAAGTTATTTTTGCTTTTTTTTTTTTTTATCGAGACTCTGTCTCACTCTGTCACCCAGGCTGGAGTGCAGTGGCGTGATCTTGGCTCACTGCAAGCTCCGCCTCCCAGGTTCACGCCATTCTCCCGCCTCAGCCTCTGGAGTAGCTGGGGCTACAGGCGCCTGCCACCACACCGGGCTAATTTTGTTTTTGTATTTTAGTTTCACCGCACCCGGCCTATCTTTGCTTTTTTAATGTGGCTACTAGAAATATTGAAATTACATACTTGGCCAGGCGCGGTGGCTCAGGCCTCTAATCCCAGCACTTTGGGAAGCTGAGGAGGGTGGGTTGCCAGAGGTCAGGAGTGTGAGACCAGCCTGGCCAACATGTTGAAACTAAAAAATACAAAAATTGCCGGGCGTGGTGGTGCATGCCTGTAATTCCAGCTATTCGGGAGGCTGAGTCAAAAGACTCCTTTGAGCCTATGAGGCAGAGGTTGCAATGAGCCAAGATTGCGCCACTGCATTCCAGCCTGAGCAAGGCTTGCTCTGGGCAAGAGCAAGATTGTCTCAAAAAAAAAAAAAAAAAAAGAAAAAAAAGAAATTACATACTTGATTCTCATCGTATTTGTTTGGACAGCACCAGTTCTAGATAAAAATGTGGCAGTATTTTTCAAAATCTTTTATTTTGAGACAGTCTCACTCTGTCGCCCAAGCTGGAGTACAGTGGTACAATCTTGGCTCAATGCAACCTCTACCTCCTGGGTTTAAGCGATAATCCTGTCTCAGCCTCCTGAGTAGCTGGGATTACAGGCATGCACCACCATGCCCAACTAATTTATGTGATTTTAGTAGAGATGGATTTTCGCCATGTTGGCCAGGCTGGTCTGGAACTCCAGACTTCAGGTGATCTGCCTGCCTCGGCCTCCAGTGCTGGAATTACAGACGTGAGCCACCATGCCAGGCCAAAAATCTTCTCCTGTCTATTCCTTTGAGTCAACATTTCCACTTATTACACTTTTTTTTTTTTTTTTTTTTTTTTTTTTTGAGATGGATTCTAGCTCTGTCACCCAGGCTGGAGTGCAGTGGTGCAATCTCGGCTCGCTGCAACTCAACGTTCACCTCCTGGGTTCAAGCAATTCTCTGCCTCAGCCTCCCGAGTAGCTGGGATTACAGGCACTTGCCATCCTGCCAGACTAATTTTTGTATTTTTAGTACAGACTGGGTTTCACCATCTTAGTCAGGCTGGTCTTGCACTCCTGACCTCCTGATCCACCCACCTTGGTCTCCCAAAGTGCTGGGATTACAGGCGTGAGCTACTGCACCCGGCCACACCATTTTTATAGCATTAATTTAACTTTCTTCCATGACACACATACATGGACATTGTCATTTACTCAAGGGACTTCCTGTTATATCCTCAGGATCTCCTTTGTAAAAATTACATTGATCACTGACTTTCTGTGAAGTATGTGGCAAAACCCATGAGGATATTGGAGGAACAATCTACCTTCTCTCATTTGCCAGACTGGACTCTCAGTCATTCAGCTATAATGTAGCAAATGAACTAGACAACTGAAACTTTAAATAAGGACACAAAATGAGAGAGTAAGTGTTTTGACAAAAGTTTCAGGTGAAATCAGGCCAGCTGCCCGCAGGCAGGGACCTTAATGGAAAGACACATCCTGAGTAAACAGGTGGAATGTCGTTGTGCTTCAAGCCATGCCGGAAAACAGAGGAGAAGCCGAGGACAGGAAAGACTGAGGGCATCTGTGGAATTTGCAATTTTACTCAGGATGTCAGGTTAAGTCTTGCTGAGAATGTGACTTTCAGTAAAGATCAGATACAAATCTCTTAGAAGATGCCAGAGAAAATCTGTTTAAAGTAAACATGATGGCCGGGCACGCTGGCTCACGCTTGGAATCTCAGCACTTTGGGAGGCGGAGGCAGGAGGATGGCTTCAGCTCAGGAGTTTGAGACCAGCCTGGGCAACATGGTGAAACTCCATCTCTACTATAAATACAAAAATTACCCTGGTGCGGTGGTGCATGCCTGTATTCCCAGCTACTCGGGAGGCTGAGGCAGGAGGATCACTTGAGGCCAGGAGTTCTAGACCACACCCGGCTATTTTTTTTTTTTTTTTGAGATGAGTTTCATTTTTGTTGCCCAAGCTGGAGTGCAATGGCACAATCTCAGCTCACTGCAACCTCCGCTTCTGGGTTCAAGCAATTCTCCTGCCTCAGCCTCCCAAGTAGCTGGGATTACAGGCACCTGCCACTGCGCCCCAGCTAATTGTTTGTATCTTTAGTAGAGACGGGGTTTCACCACGTTGGCCAGGCCTGACCTCAGATGGTCCACCCACCCTGGCCTCCTAAAGTGCTGGGATTACAGGCATGAGCCACCACACTTGGCCATTTTCAATGTTTTCACCACAAAAAAAAAATGGTATGTAAGGTAATGAATATGTTAATCAACCTGATTTAGCAATTCCACAATGTATACATATTTCCAAGTATCATGTACAGCATAAACATAGACAATTTTAATACATACAATATATGCAATTGTATACCATAAACATACACAATTTTTATTTGTCAATTTTTTTAAAAATGTAAGTTTTTAAAGTTATTTTGGCTAGGCACAGTGGCTCAGGCCTGTAATCTCAGCACTTTGGGAGGCTGAGGCAGGTGGATCACTTGAGATCAGGAGTTCAAGACCAGTCTGGCCAACATGGTGAAACCCCGTGTCTACTAATAACAATTAGCCGGGCACAGTGGCACGTGCCTGTAATCCCAGCTGCTCTGGAGGCTGACGCAGGAGAATCACTTGAACCCAGGAGGCGGAGATTGCAGTGGGCCAAGATCACACCACTGCACCCCAGCCTGGGCGACAGAGCGAGACTGTCTCAAAAAGAAAAAATAATAATAATAATAATAAAGTTATTTTGTTAAGCTGGGCATAATGAGGTGCCTGTAGTCCCAGCTACTCGGAAGACTGAGGCAGGAGGATCACTTGAGCCCAGGAGTTCAAGTTCCGCCTGGGCAACAGAGCAAGTCTTCATCTCTATAACAAACAAACAAAAAAAAAACAAAATAAAGTTTTTAAAAAAGCATTTGCTCACTGGCAATGCACATGGGGCTTTAAATGCATCCCACCTTCACACTCTGCAGAGCTTCACTCTCCCTTCATACAGAGGACACCTCCAGTGGACTGGTCCATCCCTTTTCTGTGGTTAAACTAGTTCAGCGAGGGACTAGGGATGTTTTCATGAGGAGTCTGGGAGCTTGACGCAGGTGGCTGTTGATCGTTCTCCAAGCTGTGTCGGATCCCATATCCAAAATATACAGCAAATCCTAACAGGGAAATAAGACAATGAGAGGAAATGTAGTCACCCCTTCCCTTATAAATGCCCTATAGCGATTATACTGTGGGTCTGTTTATTTGGAGGTTTTCTTGTTTCTTTTATTTAGAGATAGAGCTTCGCTCTGTTGCCCAGGCTGGAGTGCAGTGGCATGATCATGGCTCACTGCAGCCTCGACCTCCCGGGTTCAAGCAATCCTCCCACTTCAGCCTTCAGAATAGATAATGACTACAGGCGGGTGCCACTGTGCCCGGCTAATTTCTTTTTTTTTTTTTTTGAGACAGAATCTTACTCTGTCACCCAGGCTGGAGTGCAGTGGCACAATCTGGGCTCCTGTCGCCTGGGCTGGAGTGCAATGGCATGATCTTGACTCACTGCAACCTCCGCCTCTCAGGTTCAAGTGATTCTCATGTCTCAGCCTCCTAAGTAGGTGGGATTACAGGTACTGCCACCACACCCGGCTACTTTTTTGTATTTTTAGTAGAGAGGGGGTTTCACCATGTTGGCCAGACTGTTCTTGAACTCCTGATCTTAGGTGATCCACCTGCCTTGGCCCCCTGAAGTGCAGGGATTATAGGCGCAAGCCACTGTGTGCGGCCAGTTTTTAATTTTGGTAGAGATGGAGTCTCGCCATGTTGCCCAGGCTGGTCTGGTGCTCCTGGTCTCAAGTGATGCTCCTGCCTTCATCTCCTGAGTAGCTGGGACTACAGGCACAGCCCACACTGTCAGCCTGAGACTGTCACTGTAGGGAAAGGTCGCAGGAAGAGTGTTGGACACCCAAGAGACCTCTTTTTTTCCAGGAAGCCACTCACCAATCAATATCCAAACTCCAAATTGGGCCCAGGTCTCAGTGGTCATCTGCATCATCAGATAAACATTCACGGAGATGCTGACCAATGGGAGGACAGGCAACAGGGGGACCTGCAGGCAAAGAGTTAACACTGAGCACACCACAAATGTCTGCAAGGGACCCTTAGCCCAAGGGGCAGGAAGACCACAGCTCTGCTCCAGTTGCATATTCAATGCCTATTCTTTTTTGTTTGTTTTTTTGTGTTTTTTTTTTTTTTTTTTTTAGACAGAGTCTCGCTCTATCACCCAGGCTGGAGTGCAGTGGCATGATCTTGGCTGAATGCAATCTCTGCCTCCTGGGTTCAAGTGATTCTCCTGCTTCAGCCTCCTGAGTAGCTGGGATTACAGACATGCACCACCATGCCTGGCTAATTTTTGTTTTTGTTTTTTTTGTTTTTTTTTTTTGAGACAGAGTCTCGCTCTGTCGCCCAGGCTGGAGTGCAGTGGCGCGATCTCGGCTCACTGCAAGCTCCGCCTCCCGGGTTCACACCATTCTCCTGCCTCAGCCTCCCGAGTAGCTGGGACTACAGGCGCCTACCACCACACCTGGCTAATTTTTTTGTATTTTTAGTAGAGACAGGGTTTCACTGTGTTAGCCAAATGGTCTCGATCTCCTGACCTCGTGATCCGCCCGCCTCGGCCTCCCAAAGTGCTGGGATTACAGGTGTGAGCCACCGCACCCAGCCTAATTTTTGTATTTTTAGTAGAACCGAGATTTCACCATGTTGGTCAGGCTGTTCCCGAACTCCTGGCCTCAAGCGATCCACCCGCCTCGGCCTCCCTAAGTGCTGGGATTACAAGTGTGAGCCACCTCACCTGGCTCAATGCCTGTTCTGAGTGGGTATCCCATTGGGTGTTCTGGAAGAAACAGGTTTTGGGAAGTACCGATAGGTGGGGGCTGGAGGGGATGTCCATGAACACTCCATTGGTTTTAGCAACTGCCCTTTTTTCCCCTGGTCCTGTAGAGTAGTTAGAGCTTGAGGCCTGCAGAGTCCACCGACTCAGGAGAGTGATGTGGGGACATAAGGTCACCTACCTTGAAGTAGAGAGGAGTGTTGCTCTGGGGCTGTCTCCAGATGGTGAAAGTGAATCCCACAATGAGCACCAGCAGTAGCACAGCAGCTGTGACGTAGATCGGCTCTCCAGAGAACAGGCGTTTGGGCCAATGGGCCAGTACCAGGCAGAGCACGGTCAGCAGGACAACTGGAAAAGGGTCAAGGTTGGGGAGAGCAGGTTCAACTCCAGAAGCTAAATAAGTGAAGATCCTGGGCCACGTCCTATCCCCCAAACCACATATATATACGTATATATATATGTGTGTGTGTGTGTGTCCCAGCCTCCCCAGTAAGGACTACAGGCACATGCCAGCACAACCAAATAATGTTTATTTTTTTAGATGTATTTTCACTCTTGTTGCCCAGGATGGAGTGCAGTGGCACAATCTTGGCTCACTGCAACCTTTGCCTCCTGGGTTCAAGTGATTCTCCTGCCTCAGCCTCCCGAGTAGCTGGGATCACAGGTACCTGCCACCACGCCCAGCTAATTTTTGTGTTTTTAGTAGAGATGGGGTTTCGCCATGTTGGCCAGGCTGGTCTCAAACTCCTGACCTTGTGATCTGCGCTCCCCTCAGCCTCCCCAGTTGCTGGGATTACAGGTGTGAGCCACTGTGCCCAACCTAATTTTTTGTATTTTTAGTAGAGACAGGGCTTCACCATGTTGGCCAGGCTGGTCTCAACTCCTGACCTCAAGTGATCCACTCACCTCAGACTTCCAAAGCGAGCCACCACACCCAGCCTAAACTTTTTATTTCATATATGTATTTGTGTGTGCATATATATATATATATGTGGTTTTTTGTTTTTTTGAGACGGGATCTCACCCCATTGCCCAGACTACAGTGCAGTGATGTGATCTTGACTCACTGAAGCCTCGACTGCCCAGGCTCAAGCAGTCGCCCCTCCGCAGCCTCCCAAAGTGCTGGGATTCCATGTGTAAGCCACCGTGCCTGGCCAAAAGTGCCCCTACTAAGAAAGGCCACTATAAATTCAAGACTCCTCTCAACTACCAAAGCCACACACTCCCTACCGGGCCCCCTGCCCCTTGCTATCAGGTTCAAAACACCCCGCAGAGAAACCCCACTGCTCACCAAGCAGAAAGGCACATCCATAGACGGTGCGGCCAGATCTCGGGGTGGGGATGGTGCTGACAGGGCTCCACAGACTCGTCGGAGTGCTGGACGCTTCAGGAACACGTTCTGGGGATTTCGCTTTGGGTACAGAATTCATCTCAACTACTTCCTCCTTCGGCTTCTCATTCTTGCTGAAATTCTGGTCTGGCTGGTACCTGAATCAGAGAGAGGAGGGCAAGACTAACCCATGTCCCTGTTCATCCAACATCAGAGAGCCTGATACACCCACGGTAGCTCCCACGTATCCGAGTTTCATCTACCCGTGTCCACTACAGACCAAAAATAATACATGGAAAAGTCCAGCAGTAATTCGTAAGTTTTCTTTTCTTTTCTTTTTTACTCACTCTGTCACCCAGGCTGGAGTGCAGTGGCACAATCTCGGCTCACTGCAACCACCTCCGCCTCCCAGGTTCAAGCAATCTCCTGCCTCAGCCTCCTGAGTAGCTGGGATTACGGGAGACCACCACCACGCCCAGCTAATTTTTGTATTTTTAGTAGATACCAGGTTTCACCATGTTGGCCAAGCTGGTCTCAAACTCCTGACCTCAAGTGAGCCACCTGTCTCGGCCTCCCAAAGTTCAGGGATTACAGGCGTGAGCCATCGCGCCCCACCGTAATTCGTAAGTTTTCAATTGTGTGCAGCTTCAAGTAGCGGCATTCCACGCTCCCCACGCCCAGGATGTAAATCATCCTTTTGTCCAGTGTGTCCCTGCTGTGAACGCTACCGGCCGTGTTAAATCACTTTGGACATCTGACTTATGGATGGGAAAATGATCATATATAGGGACTGGTACTATCCGCGGTTTCGGGCACGGGCTGGGGGTCTTGGAACGTGTCTTCCGTGGATAAGCAGGGGCTACTGTACTCCTCCCACTCCTGTATGTGTAGCAATGCACCGAGGGCCAGGAGGCAGGCCGAGGAGGGCTGGGAACCCCATCAATCTTCACGTATCTAGGACCCCAGTCTCACCTGAGGACAAGGACAGAAAAGGCCACCAAGGAGTAAGCAAGCATGGTCCCGACGGACGAGAGGTTCACAAGGTCACTGAGCTCAAACAGGAAAGCCATGATTGCTACAGTCAGGGCACAAAACCAGGTAAGTTCCAATATTCTACAGCATTAGAGGGTGACTGTCATTAACAACTTATAAGAGCTGGAAAAGCACTTTGGGAGGCTGAGGCAGGCAGATCACCTGAGGTCAGGAGTTCAAGACCATCCTGGCCAACATGGTGAAACCTCATCTCTAATACAAAAATTAGCCGGGCGTGGTAGCACGTGCCTGTAATCCCAGCTACTCCAGAGGCTCAGGCAGGAGAATTGCGTGGACCTGGGAGGCGGAGGTTGCAGTGAGCTGAGATCGTGCCACTGCACTCCAGCCTGGGCTACAGAGCGAGATTGTGTCTCCAAAAAAAAAAAAAAAGAAAATGAGAGATGGAAAAATAGGTTTTCAGTGTTCCCAATGCAAGGAAATAATCAATGTTTGAAGTAATGGTTGTGGTATTACCTTGATTTGATTATTACATCTTGTATACATGTATGGAAATATCATACTGTATCCCATGAATATGTACAATTATTGTGTTAATTAATACTAGGAATGTGGCCAGGTGCAGGGGCTCATGCCTGTAATCTCAGCACTTAGGGAGGCCCAGGCGGGCAGACTGCTTGAGCCCAGAGGTTCCACATCAGCCTGGGCAACATAGTGAGACCCCCATCTCTACAAAATTTAAATATTAGCTGGGTGTGGTGCCACTGTACACTGGCATGGGTGAGAGTGAGATCTTGTCTCAACAACAACAAAAGTCAGATTATGTACATTTTCCTTAAATTTGTTTTTCTTTCTTTTTTTTTTTTTTTTGAGACGGAGTCTCGCTCTGTTGCCCAGGCTGGAGATCCGCTCTGTTGCCCAGTGGCCGGATCTCGGCTCACTGCAAGCTCCGCCTCCCGGGTTCATGCCATTCTCCTGCCTCAGCCTCCCGAGTAGCTGGGACTACAGGTGCCCACCACCTCGCCCAGCTAGTTTTTTTTTTTTATTTTTTAGTAGAGACAGAGTTTCACCGTGTTAGTCAGGATGGTCTCGATCTCCTGACCTCGTGATCTGCCCGTCTCGGCCTCCCAAAGTGCTGGGATTACAGGATTGAGCCACCACGCCCGGCCCTTTCTTTTCTTTAAAAACAGGAATCATCATACCTCACTGCAGCCCTAACCTGTTGCGCTCAAGCCATCCTCCCACCTCAGCCTCCCGAGTAGCAGAGACTACAGGTGTACCACCACACCCAGCTAATTTTTTGTTTGTTTGTTTGAGACGGAGTCTCGCTCTGTCGCCCAGGCTGGAGTGCAGTGGCATGATCTCAGCTCACAGCAAGCTCCGCCTCCCACAGCCAGCTAATGGTTAAAAGTTTTTTTGCAGAGACAAAAAAATGATCTCAGGGTCTGGCTCTGTTGCCCAGGCTGGTCTCAAACTCCTGGGCTCAAGTGATTCTGCCTTGGTCTCCCAAAGTACGGGGGTCACAGGCATCAGCCACTGCAACCCGCCCCATTTTCTTATTTTATTTTATTTTATTTTATTTATTTTATTTTGAGACAGGGTCTTGCTTTGTCACCCAGGCTGGAGTGCAGTAGCGTGACCTCGGCTCACTGCAGCCTCAACCTCCTGGGCTCAAGCAATCCTCCCACCTGACTGTCCCCAGCAGCTGGGACTACAGGCCCGTGCGAGCATGCCTGGCTAATTTTTTTTTTTTTTTTTTTTTTTTTTTTTTTTTTTTTTTTTTTTTGAGACGGAGTCTCGCTCTGTCGCCCAGGCTGGAGTGCAGTGGCCGGATCTCAGCTCACTGCAAGCTCCGCCTCCCGGGTTTACGCCATTCTCCTGCCTCAGCCTCCCGCCTGGCTAATTTTTTAAAAAATTTTTGTCAAGATGGAAGTCTCCCTGTGTTGCCCAGGCTGGTCTTGAACTCCTGGGCTCAAGCGATCCTCCCACCTCAGCCTCCCAAAGTGCTGGGATTATAAGCATGAGCCACTGAGCCCAGTCCCATTTTCCTGTTAAACTTTTTATTAAATAAACTTTTGTAATAGACAAAAATTCTTTTTAAAGTAATGAATAATAATTAAAGTGAAAATGGATGGGTTGTGGGAGAGGATGAGGAACTAACTCATAGAAAACGGATGAAAGAAAGCCTGAATTCTGGGCCTTTACCTGCAACGGTCCCAGAAACGACAGTGGCCACCACAGGGGTGCTGGTGCGGGTGTGGAGTCCACGGAAAAGGAGCCCGTTGTCAGCCATCGAGTAGAGCACGCGAGGCACGGGGAACATGGCACCCAGGAGGCTGCATGCAGGAGAAAACGGGAACACGCATGGGGACTCAGGAAGCAAGAGGGACTGGGGCTTCCACTCCATCACCTCTGTGGGTGAAGCGTCTCCTCCCTTTACACAAGGCCCAGGATACCCGAGAACCAGACAGCAGACAGGGAGAGAGCATCCAGCACTGACCTGGAGGACAGGGCACAGAGGGTGCCGACGGCCACAGCATATCTGATGGGGGCCCATCCAATGTGGACAGAAGCCTCCGGCAAGGGGTTCTCGGGACATATCAGGTAGTAGGGCACCATGAGGGTGAGCGCTGCTGAGACACCAAAATAGGCCGAGAAGCAGATGAAGATCGAGGTCACGATGCCCAAGGGGATGGAGCGGTGAGGGTGGAGGGCTGCTTCTCCTGCAGGACAAGGCCAGGAAGACGCACAGAAGCGAGGGTGCGAAACCCTCTTCCCTGTTCCCCATCCGAGAGCAGGGTAGCCTTTAATGAAACCTGTGCCCAGCCTTTAATGAAACAGTGGTCCCAGTCTTACCTGCCTGTGATTCCCATCATAGGTTCTTCCTTCTGGTTTTCTAATACCCACCACCGTTGCCTCCTCCCCCAAGCCTTTCCCACCCCCTTCCTCCTCCATGCCCCCTCACCCCATCTTATCTCTGACCCCCGCCTCACCAGTGAGGACCAACACCAGGCCCAGCGCAGAAAGTCTGGATACTTGGCCAGAACTTGAGGCACGTGCAGAGAAATGCCCTGCAGGGCAGGGGAGATGCGATTCCCGATCAGGCTGTCAAACGCAAAACTCCAGGCCTTGGCCACGCTGGCGGCATCTGCAGCGGCAGAAGGAGGAACGTGCATTTATGAACATGTGCTGAACCCTGACCATGTGCCATGCGCGATCTCGGCTCACTGCAACCTCCGCCTCCCGGGTTCAAGTGATTCTCCTGCCTCAGCCTCCCAAGTAGCTGGGATTACAGGCACTTGCTACCACGCCCAACTAATTTTTGTATTTTTAGTACAGATGGGGTTTCATCATGTTGGCCAGTCTGGTCTCGAACTCCTGACCTCAAGTAATCCACCCACTTCGGCCTCCCAAAGTGGTGCGATTACAGACGTGAGTCACTGCGCCCAGCCAGGGATAAAACATTTTTAAAAGAAAAAGGGAAAAGAAAAATACCTAATCTCAAAAAAAGTCTTTTGATGGGATGGGGAGGAGTAGTAGAAAAATAAAAAGAAGAAAAAGAAAATAGGCCAGGCGTGGTGGCTCATGCCTATGAGAGGCCGAGGCAGGCGGATCACCTGAGGTCAGGATTTCGAGACCAACCTGGCCAACATGGCAAAACCCCGCCTCTACTAAAAATACAAAAATTAGCTGGGCTTAGTGGTGCATGCCTGTAATCCCAGCTACTTGGAAGGCTGAGGCAGGAGAATCGCTTGAACCTGGGAGGTGGGGGTTGCAGTGAGCTGAGATCACGCCACTGCACTCTAGCCTGAGTGACAGAGTAAGCCTCTGTCTCAAAAAAAAAAAAAAAAAAAAAAATTGGTGGGGGAATGAGTTTGTGGCACGCATCTCCCCCAAATCTACAAGAACTCTATCCCATACATCCCACAGTTCCCATCTCCTCTTATTGTTCAATCCCGGAAGGGAAGCAGAATGCGACTGCGTAAAGGACATCTGGGCCTTTTCCTGCCACCATTAGCCACCCTCCCTCCCACAAGGTGGATAAACAAAGCCAGTCTGAAGGCCACCATGGCTCCCCCAGCTCCCCCCTCCCTATGCAGATCCTAATTCTTTTGTGTTTCCCACACCTCCCTCCGTGCCTCATCATGTCACCAATGACGTAGGAGAGTAAGAGGTTCCAGCCAGTAATGAAAGCCACCAGTTGACCCACTGTGACTGTGACGTAAGTGCAGAGACAGGCGGAACCGGAGCATGGCACCCGGGCCCCAAACTCTGCATAGCAGAGTCCAGACAACATAGAAGTCACGGCCGCCACCAAGAAGCAGATGACGATGGCCGGTCCAGCTTTCTCTTTGGCCACTTCTCCAGCTAGGACA